CTTATATGACATTTATATAAGCCCATTGCCGAAGCCTTTGCCCAGTCTCTCAATTAAGCTTAGAAGCTACAAAAAAAAAAAAAAAAAACAAAAAATAATAATAATAATAAAAAAATAAAAAATAAAAATTGAAGCGAGAGGCAAATACAAATAAAAAGAGATAGCGATAGAGATAGGAATAGATATAGAGTTAAAAAGTGTACGAAACGAGAAGCTGAAGAGATCGTTAAGCGCATGTCCTTTGCCCAAGCCGTGCATAACGGAGTATATAAAACATAATTTGCCTAAGTAAATATGTTTAAATTCAATAAAAATAGCGCAGTTAGCGCAGAGAACAGAGTATGAAAGCAACGTAAGCGATATAAATAACAAAATTAACCGGAAAATAAGAAAAGAGAAAACGGAAGAGCGCAGAGAGAGAGAGAGAGAGAGGAAAAAACACACGCACACACACAACACAAAGCTCAGGCGGCAGCTGTTAGGAATTTTTGTAGTTGCCTGCAGAATATTGAAATCACATAGTTAGTTGATGCCACTGCTGGTCCACGCTGACCGCACGGAGCTCGTGAGACGCCGAGGACAAGTCAAGGAAATGCAAAGCAATCAACATCATAAACAGAAGCAGCAGCAGCACCAGCACCGGATAAAGGAGCCAAAACAGGAGCTGAAGCAGCAGCAGCAGCAGCAGCTGAAGCAGTTGAAGCAGAAGCAAAGCGAATGCCAAAGACGCAATCATAGCCGTGGTATCTAAAGCCAGCAGCAACAACGCTAAGCACAACAAACGGCAGTAATTTTAACCGGAACAACAACAAGAGCAACAGCAGCTGAAAGGCATCCAAGTGCAAATAGAAGCAGCAGCAGCAGCAACTGTTGAAGAAAGCAAACGAAAACTTGTAGGCAACAGCTAAAGAAACCAATTTACATATTTAAGCTCGTAGCGTCCGGCAACCAGAAGCCAACTGCTGACAATCGGGCAGACAGTGAGTCAGTCAGTTAGTGAATCAGTGAGGCAGTGAGTCAGTCATTTGAATCAATAAGGCAATACAAATAGACGGCTCAAGTGCAGTCAGTCAGCTGCCCGTTGGATTGGGATTGAAATCAAAAAGCAGTTAGTTTCACACCTCAGTTGGCCGCCGCCAGCAGCTGGAAAGGATGCGTCTGCCATATCGTAATAAGAAAATCACCCTTTGGGTGCTTTTTGGCATAATTGTCGTCACAATGTTCCTATTCAAATTCACCGAGCTGCGCCCCACCTGTCTCTTCAAGCTGGACCCCACAAACGATTTGCCATCACAAATGGTGCGTATACAGGTAAGCATATATATGTATATATTCCACAAATATATATATGTATATATAAAAATATGTATATAGGCTATACATAGACACACTCACACATACATCGAGCTCAAGTTTATTTACACTTTAGGTTATATAGATAGGGTTAGGTATTAGGGGCGAATGATAAATCAAATTGCGGCCAGCATAGTGAGAGAGCATCGATAGATATAGATGTGTCGCTCGCATCTGGGAGCCCAAAGGACTGTATAACTAATTTCATGTTGACTGCACACGCTGACCCTAACCGCAAGCGATGCAAAGTCATTGGGGGATTTGCTGCTTATCGCTTGGTCGAACACCATTTTGTAAACATTAGTTGACCGAATGGCAACAAGAGCTGCAATTTTCTTCTTCTTCTTCTTCTTTTTTTTTTTTTTTGTGTTTGTTTGTTGGCCAATCGTGCCCACTGTGGTTGATTCACTGTACACACACACACACTTCAGCTGGAAGCCGATCAGGTGGAAAGCAAGCACAGACCCATTCACAACACACGACATACCCATTCACAATATATATTCACTCGATATACTCGAGCAGTGGACTTGTCCACAATGCCGACTGCAGTTTCGACCAATTTTTCAATTTTAAACTTAGATTAGTTCACTGCAGTCGGAGCGCTTTCGAATGCCGAGAGATGTGAGACTTCCCTTTGTTGTTGCTTGTTAATTGAATTTAAGTTGCATCATTATTGAGGCAGTTAAGCCTTTTGACCCAACTTAGTGTGTGTGTGTGCGTGTGTGTTTGGCCCCAATTCAATCAAATTGCTCTGATCAATAATTCATTATTGGGGAACATTCTGTTTGCGCTTGTCGCATTCTTATCTCATCAAAGCAGTCAGCCGATAAGGACGGACGGACGAACAAATAACAGCCAGCTAGAATTTCGCCTTATCGGATCGATTAAAAGTGCTGACTAACAGCCACGGAATTGGATGGGCGGTGGGCGGAGGTGGAGTTTGAGTTGGAGAAACCACAGTGTTAACCAATTGCCGAATCTCTCAGCAAACAACAAAATATGTTGTTATACACTCTCGATAGGGGAGGAGTCTCTACATTTCTCATAAATGGTGTAACAGCTGTGATAGAATACACAGAGCCAGAATACCACAGAAAGTAAATGCGATGGTAAAGCTTCCCAGCTCTGAGTTTTATTATTTATGGCGTTGACTTATGTTAGTTGTTACATTGCTAAGTAGTGTATTCGTGCTATATAAAAGCCAAATGCGATGTGCGATGTATCGGTCAGGCTTTTATCAGACTGCTCTAACTTCCATGCGAAATATTTTTCAAATTAAATTCAATCCGATATAATTGTCGGATATTTTTCTTAAAAGGCCCCATTGAGGTCTCTGGGATACATTTGCCAGATATTTACATTAAGTTATTATCGATACCAATACGATATATTTCCGATATATTTATGCGATATATCCAAAAACTTCATATGTTTATTAACAGAGCTCCATAACTTCTATACGATAGCTTCGATATTTCCATGCGACATTCCAACCAAATTTTTCCATACTATTCCATATTCCATATTAATTTTTATGCGATATATTAGTATTAGTATATCTGGCAGTCATCCATAATTTCTATGTATAAATCAGATATTTCCATTTTCAGCCCACTATAACTTCTATGCGATATATGTATGTATTTGCCATATGATACTATGCACTCCTAACATATTCCTATAACTATTATCCGATACTTGAATCATAAGACTTTCTAATAACTCAAAAATCTCTTTGCATAGAGTAGTTAGATTTCGATAATTTTCTCAAATATATTGTCTTCTTCTTAACACAATTTCACGCATATTTTGTTCGCATTGAGTAAGTTGTTAAAGCGGCTCGTATTAGAGGCTTAGATTCTAGAGTAGAACGCCTGGGCCTAAGCATTTTTTAGCTGAGCACGAAAATCCTTTAAATTGACATTAATGCGACAGGCACGCCAAAGGTTAACGGGCTGCTGTTACCAATACCCACACACGTAGATAAACTTAGATGTATGTGTGTCTGTGTGTGTGTGTGTGTGTGTGTCTGTGTATATGTGAGTGTGGGGCCACGCAAATTCAGTTGACAGCTGCCTGGGGCACCTTGGCGACATCGTCGCTATGCTTCAGGCTCGCCGCCAGCAGCTGCTCATTCTCATAATTATCATCATTATCGTCGTGGAGACACACGTAATTTTTGCCTGCAACTTTTCTCTAATTTAATTTTTTCCTTTCCCCCCTCTTGCTGCCTTTTTTCTATTTTTTTTATTATATTTGCTCGGCTCTCCATCGTTCACCATCTAGAAATACGTCACAGATGACAATCAACGCTCCTATTCATACAACCGTGAGATGCCATTAATATTCATAGGTGGCGTGCCCAGGTCTGGCACGACATTAATGCGCGCCATGTTGGATGCTCATCCCGATGTGCGGTAAGTTTACACCCAAAAACAACCAACCAACATTGCTCCCTGGCTGCCTAGTGCCCCCCGCCTCCCCAAATTCCCCAACTCCCTAACTCCCCAGCGCCCTGCATCATCAACACACACTTGAAAGCCGGCCCACAATCGGCACTCAGCACTCAGCTCACTTGTGTCCACGCAACCCCATACGAATGGCTGAATGGCTTGCCTGGCTCACAATGTGGGGCTAACAAAGGCAACAGGTCAAGCTTTACATGACAGCCACAAGAAACTGTTTTATGTTGCATGTTCATACACTTTTCAAATATGTCCGACTGGCTAAGGCACATTATTATTAGGTTCCTCTAACTAGCAGCGATGAGTAATTCAATATTATTCTGAATATAATACAGTTATATATAGTCTTTTTTGAACCGAAGAGTTTGTAGGTTAACGTAGGAAGAAATAATATACTTTACTTATTAAAATTGGAGCAATATTACGATTATAGCGAGTACAGTTTGTTTTTAGTTAGCCCACCGAGCATAGTCTTGAGGTCTGAGAACAGAAAATAGTTCCTGGGCGTCAGGCCAAAATCAGAAAGTAAATTACAGTAAATTTTATTCAACTTTATCACCATTTTTAACTGATTTATGATACGGTGCATTTGATAGATTGTGACAATCAGCGGTTGAGTTTCTTAGTCCGAATAATGTTTATCAAACCAAGCCTTGGCATAGCCAGTTTATCGACAGTGCCTTAGATTAGTTTAAGCACGAAATTCCCTTTGTATGCATAGGTTACTATATAAGAACATAATTATTTCATACCAATATAGATTGAATACTACCAAAGCTATACTTGTGATATGCCGACAACTATTGATTGAGAGAGAGTATTCAAGTATTCCTTAGAGTGAACCTAGCTGATTAAGAGACAGTTCTTACCATAGATGGGCAAGGTTCAGAGCAGTTCGAGAGACCAGATAAATGACCTACAGCAATCTATGCTATACCTATATGAATGCACAATCATCAATAATCAAACTACGCCTTTTATTCCAAAATCTATAAACCCGCTTCTGACTACTGTCAAGTATTTTCTTATGTATGTACTCGATAGTTTTTATATATACCATATGCATGCTTAAATATTTGTCTGATATGCTGCTGGAGTCTCCTTTCATGGAAAGCAATTTCATACACTTATGCCCGAAGAACTATTTTATCAAATGACTCAGAGTCACTTGAAGAGTAATTAAAATGATTTACTACTAAGTGCTAGTCAAACAATTAACGTGAAGTTAATCCTCTTAATTGTATTGCTAAATAATTAGCTTGTAGGCAAACAGGAATTATGTAAATGATAATAGCTGCTAAAGCGCTGCACAAAATAACTGTACAGCACGTAATCATCGTAGCAGGTGTTTGTTTATTTTGCAGCTATATCAAAATGTTATCGTTTATATATGTATTACACGATAGATAGCCGGCGACGCGTCGTGGCACCGGGGACTTGTCTGAAATGATGGATGGCTAAAACCTGCTGTCCAGTTGGTGCTTTTGCTTCGCCTTTTTCAATTGAATGAGCGCAGGGGGAGGTGAGGGGAAACCAAACCAACCAAAGAGCGGGTAACTTTGGATTTATTTCCGTGGCTCTGGCGTCACAGCATGAATTAGTTTATTAAGTTTATGCTACGCATGAGTAATTAGCCACGAATTTTTGCGCTGCTGACGTCTCCTTTGTGCCGTTAGCCAGTGAAACAGCGAGCCAGGTTGAGGGCGTGCCACAGCACAGAGAGACTGCATTACGGCGATACAAAGGACATCAAAAGGCTATGGGGTCCGTTAGGTGTCGACTTTTGCTTGCTTATTTTATTAACAATTTGCATTTTACGCCACTTCTCTCTATCTCTCTCTCTCTCACTCTGTGCACTGAATTCCGACTGCTGACTCCTCGACTTCTGGGTCTGCTGGAGCTGCTGGGTCTGCTGGGCTGCCGGCTGCTGACAGCAGTCAGCGCCACTTTTTCTGATGGCTGCACAGCACAATTTCCGCTATTTAAAAACTTACTTCCGCCCCGCAAGAGCCAGGGACGCCTTTAGTTAAATTTGTGCCAGCGCAGATACAGATACGCCTGCACAGCACAGATACAGATACGAGCAGCCATGTGTGCGTGCGTGTGTCTGTGTGTGTGTGTGTCTGTAGGGATGAATCCAATGTTTTTGCGCTGGCCTCGTTAGCTTTTGTTCGTCCGATTTGCATATAAGCCACGCGCATGTAATTGCTCCAAGATTATATATATTTGTTGAGCTTTGCCGCCGGCTTTGTCTAACTCGAGTTAGAAAATTGTGGAATTTGCCAGCGACTCGTGGCATCCGAAGCCCAATGCCTGGCCAACAAATGTCCACAGTTGGCAGTTTGCTTGCGCAACACGCTCAAATGGCCCTCAGTGAATAACGAGCAAATGGATTCCGCAGAGCAATAAAGCCATTTGAAATACTAGCAGGAATGCGATAGAAGAGTCCCTGGCACGGCATGCAAGCGGCGAAAAGTGAGCATTCAACAAGCAACTTGATATGCATGAGCATGGAGCTATGATATGATAGGGAGAGAATACTATTTGGATAGATGATATAAAGTCTGTGCGAAAGTTTAGAAGGAAGCTGGAGTTTTAGGCTGACTTTGTGAACAGATCACATAGGTGGATATCAAGGAAGATAGATAGATATTGATTAGACAACAGTCAAACGATTTTTCGAACTCGTTCTTTATATGCTCGATTATAAGATGGAAATAGTAATACAGTTCATCTTAATTGGAAAAATGAAAGCAGGAGTTTTGGGCTAACTTTAAGAACAGATCTTGCAAAGCTAATGCAGAAATCACATAGGTGGAGGTGGATATGAAGGAAGACATATAGATTCTGATATAGACAAGAGCCAACAGATTCTCAGATTCTTTCTTTATAATGTCGATCATAAGATGAAAGGAGTATATTAACTCTATATAATGCAGTTCATCTTAATTGGAACAACAACATTTATTCTGTTTACTTAAAGCTTGAAATTTGTAAAATGGCAATTAAGATATGTAAATACAATATATAATAAATGTATAAATATAAAAGCCGAGTATCAAAACGTTAACTGTTTAAAATCTTAAA